CAATGTTTTTGGTTTTATGTCAATGTTTTATGATACATTATATACAGTATTATATTTGTTTTAACTGTATAAATTTGCAGTTTAAATAATATTCATGAAAAATTTAATGAAATTTAAAAAAAATTATAAATCATTATTCAGCAAAAAAGAATAGAATAAATAAAAGCACATGTTTTTGGAAAGTATGTATAAGGTGTCAATTATAAGTAAGTACTGTGTCAAAGCTTATAATAGCACCAATTGAATCAACACAAACAACATTTCTGAGGAAAAATATTAATTATAAGTAAGCGTACAATTATTCTAAGTTAGATCAACTATTGTATGCTGTTGCCGTTTGGCAACATATCATAAAGTACCTTAAAATAAAAAAAATTTCAATTTTTTTTTACAGCGCTTCAAGTTAAGCCAGTCTTAGAAAAGAAAAAGATTCAAATATTTTTTTTCTCTATAGGTCTGTCATAATGCGTGCGGTATGTGTAAAAATTTGTTTTATTATAAAAAGTAAAACAGGTTTACGACTTGTTCAGTCATAAACTGAACACGTTCCACAGGCATTTTATGAACAGAAATTAAATAAGTATCAGTATGAAATATGTAGTAAGTATAATATCAAAAGTCAAAATCCAAAGCTTATTTGGATTTTACAAAATTATCCTTAAAATACAGTATCCTGAACAGGGACATTTCTTTTTTTGCTGAGTTTGTGTAGCATTTAGCTTAGCACAGCATACATGAACGCTATGGCAAATTTGTCAGTGTGTGTCTCTGTGTGGATAAACAAGCTCTTATTTTGTAGGTGTATGTATGTGCGTTTGTGTATGTGTAGCACCCGGACCACTCTCTGTTGTGGATAAATGACCCCATTATAGTTACACTGGGGGGGTCATCTATCAGCTCAACTTGGCCCCTTTGCGCTCAGACACTGTCTGCAAGGAGACAGACACTACACTGCTTCAGTGCCTCAGCATTTGTGTGTGTGTGTGTCTGAGCTTTTACCTTGCGTGTAAATAACACACACTGCTTTTAGAAGTTTTATTTTTATAAATGTATATTAGCTGATTTGTTTTATTCACTTTTTGTGAATTAAATCATTTTCTTAATTTGTTATAAATTTTGTCTCAATTTTGTTAATATTAGTTTTATAATTATTATTTTTTTAAGTATAAACTTCTTTAAATGTTGTTACGTTTATGGTTAAAACAAGAAAGAATAATTGCCTAGAAGTTTACACAGCTTATAACTGAAAAACAAGATATACACTACCTTTGAAACGTCTGGGGTCGGTGAGATTTTTTTCTTCTAAAAAAAAAAAAACCCCAAACAATCAAAAAGATTGTGAAACTTGTTTTTTCAACAAAGACGCATTAATTTGATACAAACTAACAGTAAAGACTTTTACAAACCAAACCAAAAAATTGTAATTACATTATGAAGGATCATGTGACTTGCCATCATAATATATTACAATAAAAACAGTTATTTTAAATAATAATAATATTTCACAGTATTACAATTTTATTGTATTTTTGGTCAAATAAATGCAGCCTTGTTGAGCATAAAGGACTTCTTTCAAAAACATTAAAAGATCTTAAGGACCCCAAGCTTTTGCACTGTATTTTATAATCTCTGAAAATAATTTATAATAATATTTGTTACACAAATGTGCTTTTCAAGTAAATTTGTCTAGTTTTAAATATGTTCAGAATTTTAAAAAAGAGGCAAAAATACTGATTTAGAAGATTTTTTTGGCAGTATAGAGGAGAATTGATTTGATGTATGGTGATGCTACTCTGTGGATGTGTCCTGCTTTGCAAACCAGCTTGCCAGTCTTTCCCCATTGCACCCTGGGAGCTCATTACAGGTGCCTCTGAGCTTGTGAAACACGCCAGGATGTTGTTGTGTGAATCCTCTTCATTAAATACTACAAAACAACCACCGCAATGACAGAGAAACATCTGACAAGAAATCCACAGATGTGCGTTTCACCGTTACTGTATATGTTATAGTGAGGCAGACTGGTTTGTTCTGTATAATTGTTAGCGTCTCAGTCTGTTTGTAGAGACACATCAATAGAGACTTGTTTGTCTTGTGAGGGATTTTCCTATCAGTATGTTGCTGTTTTTCCCATCATTACACAAACAGAGAATTAGGTACTTTTTATCTGCTTTACTTTCTCACACTGAGCTGGAGCTGTGATGTCATATCCTGTGAGTGTTTTTGGGTATAAACTTGCGAGGTTTAGTTGCAGTTTACTCCGGTTGGAGGAATTTGCACTTGGTTTCTCCTTGTGAGTAAGTAATGTCTGCCTTTTACATCATGCCATTTAAAATGCTGGAAATCTCACTCTCTCTCTCTGTGTCATTTAGAGCCGTAGTCCACGTCACTCCCAGTCCACTCAGTCGGGTTTGGCAGACCAGGCGTCTAAACTGTCCTTCGCATCTGCTGAGTCTCTGGAGACCATGTCTGAGGCCGACATGCCGCTGGGCTTCAACCGCATGAACCGTTTCCGTCAGAGCCTCCCACTCTCCCGCTCTGCAAGCCAGAATAAACTACGCTCTCCAGGTAACATATACACACTGGCCTCATCTGAGTATCAGTCTACTGCTCTCAGTAAATTACTCTCTTTACCTGACACTCAAAAGACTAATACGCTTATGCCCACATAAACACAAGAATAAGTTAGCAACTTTACTAGAGCCAGTGCTGTGGTGTAGCAGTAGCATTCATGATCACAACTCACAGGTGCTCCAATGGTTACGCAGATTTGAGTCATACCTACAGCTTTTATTTTTGAAAACAAATTAATACTTTTATTTAGCAAAGATGTGTATACATATAAATTGATCAAAAGTGACAGTAAAAACATTAATTACGTTACAAAAGATTTTGAAATAAATGCTGTTCTTTTGAACTTTCTATTCATCAAAGAATCCTGAAAAAGTGTCACTCTGTCCACAAAAATATTAAACAGCACTTTTCAACTGAAACATTTTCAACAGTGATAATAAGAAATGTTTCTTAATGGTCCCCTGAAGTGCCTTGAAACATGCAGCGTTATTCTATGTGGTGACGTAATTTCAACTGAAACAGGAAGACAAGGCGGGACATATCAAGCAGCCCCGCCCCCTTTTTAAATTAGCCAATAGCGTTATGTTTATATCTGCACGGGTAAGAGCAATTGAGCTCGGTAAAGCCGGATTTGACAGCCACAGTCTAATAGATTCAATATGAAACTCTTAGTAAAACAAAATAGTGATCATAA